ATAATAAAATATATATAGAAATATCAACTCTATTAAATTGATGCATTAGGAAAAATAACTTTGTGTACGTCGTCAACGAAAGCAAAATAGAAGCATTGAGCTGATATAATTACCATAGCTTATTTGACATTTTACATTTACCTGTGCACAAGCATAAAGTTTGTCGTCCTTAGGCGTCCCTAACTGATGATAAGCTACTCCTGTGCTCTCGTATCCTCTAGGAGACACTTCCAGAAAGCCGTTGGTACCAGTAGTTACATATCCTAGAAACAAAAAAAAATATATTAATGTATAATTCCCAGAACTCCGACCTCCGCAAGAAGGACCAGCTCTTACCTCCTGCAGCCTGGTAGTCCGCCGCCGTATAATAACCCGTCAGATGGTGCCTCTGATATTGATGAAACAAATTATCCGGATACATCGTCTGAAAAGTCTGTCCCATATAGAGAGCGTTCTCCGTCTGACCATATCCTCCCTGGGTGTACAAATTTGGGTGATGATGATAAGCAGCAATGGGCGTCATCAGGTGATTTTCGGCAGCAGCTGTCGGCAGATAATCCATCATGACAGTCGAGAGATGGGGCGAAGAGTTGTTGTTGTTTAGATTTATGTTGTGGTTGTTGTTCGTTAAGTTGTTGGACGTGTTGAGTAAAGGACTGTTTAAGGATTGGACAGCAGGAGCGTGAGGTGTTAAGGGCGATGCGTGAGGTGATTGGTGCGACGACAGTTTGCGTTTCGTTCGACATGTTGATAAGAAGTCGCGGAGTTGGGTTTTGTAACGGCGATTTACCTACGGGGAAAAAAAGATAATACAATATATAAGTTTTCAATATTTCCATATAACTCGCCCTATGAAAAGTTAATGAAAAGAATTTGAGAGTCCTTACCCTTTGGTTTGTCGGCGTCATTGGTATTGTCGGTGACGTAGCCGTTGGAAGAACAGACGTCATAATATTATCACTATCCGTAAAATAACTATTTGTTAAACCTGCATCCAAATAACTAACTTTGAAATCCATCGTACGTTTTCCCAGCAGATCCCTGCCTTCTTCTTCCCTAAAAAATAAAGTACAATGATTAAAAACATGGTCTTCAGTTACTTTAACAAGTTTCTTTATAATCAAGTATAATCTATTTCGTTCTTACATAAGCGGTCTGTGTGTGCTAATAACAAAATCAGGCTTTGAATTTTTATAAACTAGTCTCGAACTGGTTTGCAACCACTGCCATTGTCCTTCTTTGGTTTGAAACCTGTAAGCTATCATTCCGGATGCTCCAGTTTTTAACACTAAAATAAATAAAGAAATGGAATATAAAACCTTTAAAAATACTTAATTGTGATAATTTATGTACACTTACATTCTTGATGAGCGCTTGCCACATATGCCAAATCATCAAAATGTACTAAATCATATCCACCCATATTAGCCAGTTCACCATCAGAATATCCTAAAAGCATTTTTCCCCTGAAAAAAAAAGATTATCCATAGTTAATCACGAATGATGAAGGATGAAGAAAATTTTATGTTGAAAACTAGATTGCTTAGAAAAAAACTGAATTGGAAAACTGGATTGGATCTAAATCGTAATGTCCCCTTTTTCAGAAAAGGTCTCAAATATCATAATAACGATGCAAATTGAGAAATAGAGTATACTATTTGAAGAATATCAAAATGAAAGCAAAATATTACAGACGAAATTCAATGAAGAATATACTAACCGTTGGTCCATAGAAACCAACCCTAAGTCCAATTTATGTTTACTTTTAAACATCACTTCCTTTTGTGGAATCTCCAGTAAACTTGGCGGTCCAAATGGCGTACAGATTGCAAACAAAGCCAAAGGCGGTTCTTCTGTTTTCCTATTTTGTCCATGAAGAACTTTGACACGTCCTCGGATATCCAATCGCTAAAAAATCTCAGTGTTAGCAACTTCAATAATCCTTTCTAAAACATGCGTCCTTTCCCCCTACTCACCAAAAACCCTGAAGTATTATCCAGTAAACATCTAAATCTAACTGTAAAACTCCGTTCCAACAAATGTGCATTGTGGGGCATTAAGACCTCCTGGAGACTCATCTGTTGTTGCTGTTGATCGGATGTCGTCTGATGTTGTTGTTGCTGTGCTCCTGGAGATGTCTGATGTTGGTGTTGAGTGTTTCCGTTACCGGATCCGGCGGTTATAAAACTGTTCCAGAGTAACTGTCTTTGGAGTTCTTCTCTGTCTTCGGAATGGACCAGCTCGTAGACGCTCTGGTGCACTATATCAGACTGTAAGGGTAATAGATAATTATTATTGATGAAAAAATGTACATGATAAATAAAATTGTATGTTTATAAAATTACCTGATGGAATCCCAAATAACTCTCTATACTGTGGGTTGCAAAAAACACTTCGCCTTCGCACGTTAGAATCATCAGAAATCCATTCAGCGCCTAGAAAAAGTGAATAATTTATTATTAAATAAATAATATTATTGAATCATATAGTAATATATTAAATTTAATAGAAGTTGATTAGACACATGTAAGTCTGGCAACTTTGGATACATTTAATATACGTCGTAAACTTGTTTTTTTTTTAATATACTTGAATGTTTTAATGGACTAATTGTAGAATCGAAGTAAATTATTTAATTTTACAACAAGTAAAAAACTAGATGGAAAAAAAGCTTTTGAAGAAAGAAACCTAATAAATAACATCAAAGTGCTTGTATCCTTTTACAGGACTTCCATATATAATAATATGAATTTTTTATCCCATGGCCCTCTTGCTGTCCACCTGTGTTATTTTTTCGTCCTCGCCGTCACAATGTCCTCGTACATATAAAATTAAATTAATTAAAATGGCATAGAGTGACCATAACTATAATTAAAAACTCTTATCATATGTCGTATATCGCATATTCGTCTGTGTTCTAATCGAACTGCGGAATGGGCTTTTTTTTATTTCTTATAGTTAGTAAATAATTTCATACAGGTATATATATATATATATATATATATATATATATTATATATATATATTATATCTATATTTATATACAGTGCTGGATTTACAGTAGGGGCAGTCGGGGCTACTGCCCAGGGCGGCAGATTTTCGGGGGCGGCAAAATTTGGATAGTAAGAAAAAATGCTATACAATGTAATCAACTAATTTTTTTTTAAAAACGTTTTTTATTTAAAAAAATATAGTTAACTTTTGTTAATTTATATAAAACATACTACGAATACAATGCAAAATTTGGATTCAAATAGACGATTATTAAAATTTATTATTTTTCTTTGACTCCCTCTCCGAACATAAATTATCAAATTGGTTAACAAGTTATTATCAAATTTGGCAATTTGGCTAATACAAAGTTTCGTAAACGAGCTGAAAGTTTAAGAAAAATATGTTCTTCAAATCTCGAGCTCTCTTAGAACTTTCAAGCCTATAGCGCCGAAAAAAAATTAAACTAGTGACGATTAATCACTGCAAATTACTGGAACTTCTCTTTCTGAAAATTACATTTTATAAAGAGCATTAAAATTTTTAGAAATATGAAAAAATGCCCTTTAAAAAACTTTTTTTTATGTGTATATTGAAATTCTTTGAAAATTATAAACTTTTTTCAAAGCAATCGCGCTGCGAAAAATTTCAAAAATATTTCATAATATAAAAAAAAACTCAAAATTTTCAAAAATTGATTTTTTTTAAGTTTTCAAAAAATATATATTTTTTTTAATTTTGATTTTTGGTACAAGAATAATATATAAAAACAATTTAAGTAACATTTCAGGGATGGGGCGGCATTTTTGTCAGTGCCCCAGGGCGCCAAATTTCTAAATCCGGCCCTGTTTATATATATAATATGTGTGTGCGTATATACGTAAGAGCCGCATTGTATGTATACATCTTTCCTTTCCCATTTGTGCAAAGATTAGTAAAAGATGCAAAGGAATAATATATGTCTTGAATTATATTGAAAAAAACTATATTAAAAATTTCATATCCAAATATTGTGTCGGCGCCCCTAAGGCGTGCGCTCGCATTTTATGTTTGCGTCGCATTCAAGGTAGAACCGGCCCTGATTATACTTAATTTCATATTTGAAGTGAATTAATTTGTCAAATCCTGTTCATATGTGTATCATTCAGTCTGCCATATATACACTGTATCTTTAATAATATTTTAATTTATGGCACATCTCAGCCGCTTTTAGGCAATAATAGTGAAGACATCTCATTTTTTTAAATCATAATCATGAATTTATTATACATATTCTAATATTATGTAGACTCGTAAGTAAATTGAAAATTTTGGCAGATGACAGTTTTCATTTGTTTTCAATGCCAAACAATGGCTCAAATATTTTCAATGTCAAACAATGACAAGCCGTTTTTTGCATTTTTTTCATTTTTTTCCATTTAATTCTACAATATTACTATATTTTTATAATCACATACATCCTTAAAATTTCCTTAACAAACTTCAGAAAGATTTATCAAAATCCGAATAATCGTTTAGAAGGAGTATATTTACATACATCATTACAAAAGATATATATATATATATATATATATATATATATACTGCTCTGTACGGATTAGAGACATGGACTCTAAGAAAGACCGACAGAAATTACCTCGAGAGTTTCAATTAGTGATGCTAGAGATGAAAGTAGAAGACTATCAAGGATTTCATAAAAGCATACTCGTTGTCTTGTAAAATATTACTGTAACATATCATTTTCTGATAATTTATTGGGTAGTTGTGATTTTGTTGTCAAGTAATTGCAAAGATTCAGGGACCAATTCTGTCGGATAACAGAAAAATGTTATGGCAAGGCCATGCTATGAAGAACTTTCCATACTAAATTTGACATAAGCCATGTGGTTGATGTGCAGTCTGGCGTTTTTCTCAGGTTGTCAGGTAGAAAACCTAACCTAGAAACCGCACAAATGTCAAAAAACTATGTTAGATAGTAGGGTGTTTCTGACTCAGGTTCATAACATACGAGTGACGTTGCAGTTTATGTGTAAAACGCCTAAATGCACAGCAAATACATCACTGAATACTGTATTCAGTATGATTTAGTAACATAATAAATTGAAGTTGGAGCGTAGCATGGCCTTGCCATAACATTGGTCTGTTGTGCGGCAGAATCGGTCCCTCAATTATAAAACCTATCTAAAACAATATATAAAGATCTAAATCCGGGACAAATAATTTTGCTTTTAGAAAAACCCAGAACACAAGGTGGAAATCCAGTACGTATAGTCACCTTATGATGACATACAAGTGAAGTTGCAGTTTATGTTAAATCGCATTGACAGTGTTTAGCAGGATTTTGTATGCAAACTGAAATCTACCATAGCCTTTGACAGTATTCATTGTGATTCAGTAGCATAATGCCATAACATTGGATTGTTGTGTGGCAGAATCGGTCCCACAATTATAAAACCTATATAAAATGATATATAAAGATCTAAATCCGGGACAAATTTTGCTTTTAGAAAAACCCGGGCTACAAGGTGGAAATCTGGGACCTATGGTCTCCTTATGATTAGCAGTATTTAGTAGCATTTTGTATGCAAACTGAAACCTACCATAGCCTTGCATTATCATTGGTCTATTTGTACGACAGAATCGGCCCATTACTTAAATTTGTGAAGTGTAGACGCGGCTTTAGAATCGGGTTGCATTAATTTACTTGAAGCGCGATATCTTCTCGTTGCGGACGTTAATGCGTTTATAATATTTAGTCTCGTCTTAAGAGAGACGAAAAAATGAACAGAAAATCATCTAAGGCGCACAAGTATAATTGATGCCCCTTTTTAAAACCGACACATTAATATTAATCCGTCACTGGAGAAGGAATTATTCGAAACGTACTCGAAAAGAGATATGTCACAATTCAAATGATAATATGTATTTGGTTGTCCAGGAAGGGAAAAGTATTTTTGATTTCTGGACAGAGGAATTAAATGCAAGTTATTACATATAATTTGAAACTTGAGTCGCATATTGTGATATATTTGTTTATTTAGTAATATGCAAGGTGTGTACAATACTTTATTGTATATTTAGTAGCTGATTAAGAAGCACAATATTAGATTCCGAAATAAACTAGTGGTGTATGGTATCGCGCCTTAAGGCAAATTGCTGGATCATCTCGTACCGTAACAAAATGTTCAAGGAATATTAAATGTTTTCAAATAGATTATTATAAATACTGTAACTTTCATTATTCGTATTTTATAGACAAAATATTAGAGCTTATGAATTGGACGACGACGTATGCTTACATGAAAAATAAAACTTAATAAAGCAGAGTTAGAATAAAAAACCTTATCTCATATTTCTAGGAATTATATAAACTCAATTGCTTAGTTAAAACTATTTATTTATTTAAATATATAAGTGAGCTAGAATTTTAGCTAGAATTAGCATTAAAATCCGTATTATTTTCCATATTCAAAAAAATATTTTCGGGAAATTAAAAACAAAAGGGTTTTTTTGAAATTTTGAAGTCTTTTTTTTACTTTCCCCAAAAATAATCATTTCGTCAACACAAGCAAAAAGTTTTTTGAATCATTGAAATCGGATGTTAAGTTCTCTCAAAAACTGCAATTTTTTGTACATTCAGCTCCGCATCTCCGAGACGGCTAGACCTGTCTATGGTAAAAACTAATCAACATTTCTCCCCATCATTACGAATTGCATGTTTTTTGAATCATTCAAATCTTTTGTTCTCTCAAAAACTCGATTTCTATTTTCTGCACTCTTTGTTCCGTATCTCCGAAACGGCTGGACCTGACCTTACCAAAAACTAATCATCACGTCTTCCCATCAGTAGGAATCGATTTTTTTTGTACTATTTTAAATCGGTGCGCCCGAAAACGTAGACGAAATATTGTGGACACACAAAACTCACATACACATCAGTTTTTTCTGAGGTATGCCAAAATGTTCAGAAACCTCTGAAACGTGAAGACATGCAAACATTTTCAATTTCGATTTTTAGGACGATTACAATGAAAAGTCAACTAGGTGTAAGTGAAGCTATGAAAAGTCAACTAGGTGTAAGTGTTATTTTTTGATAAGACAATTTGCAAAAACTAATTGATATGTGTATACAATCGACTTAATAAGAATTAAAAATAAAATGTTGAAAAAAAGACTTTAAAATAGTCTTTTATCTATAGTTTTACTTGTGCAATTCAGGACATGTGCAGAAACTCTTATATAATAATAATAAAAAAATGAGACTCCTCATTATTTCAAAATTTGATGAATTTTTATAACTAAACCGATTTTGTTGACATATAACATTTTAGAATGTTCGTCAAGACGCCGATTTCTATTATCATGAAAAGTTTAAAAAAATAAACAATTAACTACAAAGACATTGATTGTCTAATATTTACCAAAAGCTAACTAGCACGATAAC